TGCCGGGCGCCACGATGCCCGGAGCTGTAAGGCTGGCGGGCGAGACGTGGTTGTCGAGGCCGGTGGTTTCGTCGAGGCCAGTGGTGGAGTCAGGTGGTCGCGGAGGGGCTGACCGGGAGTCGGAGTCTGTAGACTGGTCGTTGTCGTCGTCGTCGTCGTCTTCATCGTCCTGTTCGTCCTCGTCGTCCTGTTCGTCCTCGTCGTCGTCGTCCTGGTCAAGGGAGACGGGGAGGTCCAGATTGACGTAGAGTTCATCGGCGACGACGAATTGAAGTTCGTCGTTTCCGTCAAGGTACTGGTGCAGTTGGTCTTTGATATCTGGTAGAATGTCTGAAGGTATTCGGTAGCCGTGGTTCATTATGGCTTCGAGCACTCTTTCCAAATGTTCGAGATGTATTGTGTGTAGTGCGGCAAAGGCTTCGAGTTGGCACTTCCGTGAGAGCCGTTCGCTTTCGGCCATGGGCGTTGGAGTCTTCCGTCGAGCACCGGGCGAATTCTTGCCTGCCGGCGAACTCTTATTGCTCAGCACACTCACTTCAGCCTCCCACTTGCGCATTTGATCCTTTAACCGTGCAAGACAACCCTTGACCCACTCAGATTGCTCGGCCTGTTCGGAGGATAGATCACCGTCCGCATGATCCTCACTAGAAAGACCTCGACAGTAGAACACTCGTCCCCTCTTATATCGCAACTCGATCTGTTTCCGGATATCTCGCAACTCAGCTGCTTGCTGTCGTAACTCCGTCATGCACAACCACTCACCCAACTGCTGCTTGTACCGATGCAATCGCCGTAACATCGCCTCCAAGTCACCCTCCATCCGACTCTTCGAATCACACACGTGTTTAAAGTCCAACAACTCCAACGTCGCCGTTCGCACTGCGTGCTTCTTGCCTCGGATCTGTTCTCGCCGTGCCTCCTCCCACATTCGCTCCTTCAACCCCCTCTAAAACAAAACCACGTTTTCCCTATCCATCATGTGAATCCGAGATAACCCCCACAGGCTGGGCATCGTGATCACCACTCGAACTGGCTGATGGATGGAACCAGCCAGCTGGCAGGCACCAGGGTGATACGTGCCAAGTCGGGTAACACGACAAAGTAGGTACCAGGACCAAGTGGGCAAGTGTGAACCAACACCAAGTGGGCACTTAGACCAAGTGAGCAGGCACCAGCTAGACCGGCTGGACACCAGCTAGACCAACTGGGCACCATGTGCGGTACCAAATGGTACAAAGCGTGACACCATGTGTGACACCAAGTGCGGTACCAAGTGAGGTACCAAATGAGGAACCAACCGGAGGGCACAATACAAGTGGGGCATACCACCGAATGGGGGCCGAAGCGGCCACGGAATGCGCGCCCCAGACCCCGGAGGAGGATATCCAAACTGCGGAAGACTCGTGTGGAAGATTCGTGTGAATTATCCCGATTCGCTAGCCTCCCGGGGCTCTCTCCGTGTCCGTTATCGGGTTTTGTTACAAGAGGGGGCTGATACCTGTGATCGGTTAAATTCCCGGAGCTCTTGCCACCGGGCATCGTACCCCTCGAGGCTCACATTCACCTCCTTTGTCAGTTTGTCGACTTCAGCTTGGAGCTTTCGCGACATGAGCCTCCCTTGCAAACGCGTTTGCAAACGATTTATGGGTTCCCATAAATCCCAGTTTTTAAAACAGCTGAACTCCCCTCACTCCCATCTCCCCCCGGGCAGCTGCTATTGTTGCTCGTAAAACTTGTAGAATTTTTTTTTCGGCAGAATGGCTAAAGGTAATGGATTTCAGCACTCCCCGTATCTCATGTCTTCGCAGTACGATTTCTAAATACATTCAAGCCAATACAAAATCTGCTACCGGAAGTTAGTCCGCCAGAGCGACCTGTAAGTAGAGCGATCTCCACCACTATATTAACTAACCACTATACTAACATCCAGCCACCCTTACCAACAATTAATTGCATGATCGGGGGACAGACATTGGCTTTGTTCAGGTGCCTTATCAGCAGCGAATATTATGGACGGTCATATCGCTTTTTATATTCCTAGTATGTTGCCAGATTCCTTTGTTCGGAGTGGTAACGAGCAAGTCCTCTGACCCCTTCTACTGGGCTAGAGTGATCCTTGCATCCAACAAGGGGACTCTGATGGAGCTGGGTATTTCCCCGATTGTTACGGCGTCCATGTTAACGCAGCTGCTGGCTGGTTCGAAGCTGATTGACGTGGACTTGTCCCTCAAAGAAGACCGAGCTCTCTTCAATACTGTTCAGAAACGTAAACGGTCACGAGGGCAGTTCAATTGGTTGTATTCTGTAAAGCACTTGTATTCTGTAGCACACCTCTGTAAAGCACTTATGTAACACACATGTGTTCAATGCACAATCGCAACCGTGCTGCAATAGTCGGTAGTTGCAACAAGTTGGTAGCGCACACGTGTGTGTAATGTTTTCTTTTTAGTATTTGGCTTGTTGATTTGTTTGGGTGAAGCCGTTGCGTACGTAGTGTCGGGAGCGTACGGTCCGGTGGGTTTGGTGACAGGTTCTTTGATTGTGGCTCAGTTGTTCTTTGCGGGTACTTTGGTGCTGTTGTTGGACGAATTGATGCACAAGGGTTACGGCATGGGTCCGGGCATTTCATTGTTCATCGCTACTAACATTTGTGAGAACATTATCTGGCGTGCATTATCTCCGACGACGATCAATACGGGGAAAGGAACGGAGTTTGAAGGCGCATTGATAGCGTTGGTTCATTTGTTAGCGACGAGGCCGAATAAGTTGAGTGCATTACGGGAAGCGTTTTACAGATCTTCGGCGCCGAATTGTACCAACTTGTTGGCTACATTATTGGTGTTCTGTATCGTAATTTACTTCCAAGGTTTCCGCGTGGATTTACCCATCAAGTATCAGAAAATGGGTGGTCAAGTTGGAAATTACCCGATCAAATTGTTCTACACGTCGAACATCCCTATCATCCTCCAAACCGCCTTGGTATCTAATCTATATTTCCTATCCCAATTACTCTACAGACGCTTCCGGTCAAACATTATCGTCAACCTCATTGGCCAGTGGCAGGAAACCGACTTTGGCTCAGGCTCATCCGTCCCCGTCGGAGGTGCTGCATACTATATCTCACCACCCACAACTTTCAAGGACCTCGTTGCAGACCCACTCCACACCTTTATCTACATCGTCTTTGTCCTAGCATCTTGCGCCATTTTCTCCAAGACCTGGATCGAAGTCAGCGGCAGCTCACCCAGAGATGTTGCCAGACAACTTCGCGACCAGGGCGTAGTCGTCAAAGGACATCGAGAAACCGCCGTCGTTCGAGTACTCGAAAAATACATACCTACTGCCGCTGCATTTGGAGGCATGTGTATTGGTGCTCTCACCATTGTCGCAGACTTCCTCGGAGCCATCGGCAGTGGTACCGGTATCCTTCTTGCAGTCACCATCATCTACCAATACTACGAAATGCTCGCCAAAGAACGACTCCAACAAATATCAATATAACTACCCATCCCCGCCTCAGCATTTTGACCCTGAAGGCATTTTCACCGGGAGGTGTTTTTTGTGGAAAAAAAATGAATGAGAACCATAACTCTTCACCGATCAAAAGATCGCAGCTGCGGCCACACGCGTGTGCACACGTGTGTGCACACGTGTGCAGGTGTCGTTTGCAGGCGTCGTTTGCCGGCATCTGCAGGAGTAATCAAGCAGCAACTATTTGGGGAGGTTGTTTTAAGGTTTTCATAAGTGTGTTGATAAGCGAACAGTTATCTAGACTAGCTATTTAAGTGCTGTAATCCCGTTCCATTACGCGTATTTTCCTGTATCAGTCTTCCTTCCTGTATCAGTCTTCCTTCCTGTATCAGTCTTCCTTCCTGTATCAGTCTTCCTTCCTGTATCAGTCTTCCTTCCTGTATCAGTCTTCCTTCCTGTATCAGTCTTCCTTCCTGTATCAGTCTTCCTTGGGTTGGTTTTTTGAGGAATGTTACGAGTGTTTCGTCGCAAAGCTGTTTTGGCTTCTTCGGGTATGTTATCTTGCATTAGGTGTACGCAGTCGACGGATTGTACTCGTGTGATGCCGATGAATTTGAGGACGGAGCGGAGGTATCGTGTGATGTGTTCT